GACCGCGCAGCTAGTTGCGTGAGTCGCTACAATCTTCATCTTTCAGTGTCAACGGCGCAGTCACCCCCAATCGCGCTGCGGCGGTAGCAAAGGATGCCCCTTTCCTCCTGCTTTTCTTATGCAATTTGCGTGCTGCGCTTAATCCTTTGCGGTTAACTGCTAATTGACTGGCCATAAACAGGGGCCAAGTTAAATGGCCAAAGCATACTTAATAAAACTACATCTACGCCATGTTTGCATAAAATAAAAGCGCTTACTATGAAACTAACGCAACTAATTTGAGAGACAGCAACTGGAAATGTTGCAATCAGAGTGGAGAACTAAAAGTAAAGCTATTCCACTTACAAATATACATATAAGCAGCAGGAGTAATGGATTTGTCAATCTGGTTTCAAACAATTGGCGTATTTAATAGAGAATAATATTTTACCAAAGTGCTTTAGAAACTGGCAACTGTATAAGGTATTCCAAGTAGCATTAGTTTAAAGAAACATTTTTTCACTAATATTATCTTTAGTTGTGTCCTGGTAAAAAGGATGTATCATATACCTAAAAGCGCCTTATAACCATGTAGAAGACATATGTTACATAAAGGATTATATTTTAATAAATTAAAAAATTTGATGTTTGCCAAAATACATTACAAACAGTTGCGAACGTCGCACACTAAGTACTTTTTGCACTAATTACTTCCTAGCCTTGTCTCTATAGGAAATGCTGTCTCAATTATCTTTGGTGTTTATCCAGTACTTAAATATAGACTACAGAGGATTTTATATATCCAAGACCAAAGCTATACCACCAAAAGAATACACAAAAACTAATCTGGATTTGGACCTGTGTATTCTACACGAGAGACTTTATACCAGATTTGGTGTCTGTAGCTAGAGATATCCTCGTAAGTGACTATATCGACAACTATCTAGATCGATTACATTGTAACGAGATAAGTTGTCGGATATTTGATATTAACTTTATTGCAAGCTATGTTCCAAATCTTAAGTCTCTAGCTCTTATATTCGACGAGAACGAGTTGGACGAGTTGGAAGGTCGGTCGGACAGTCGGACGTGGCTAAATCGAGTAGGTTGTACACTTGCAAAATCCACTCTCTGTCTGCTTACACACATAGGCACAAAACCATTATACCTTTTTTTATCATTTACGTGTTTTATAAGTTTAATTCAATGATCTGACTAACCCCGAAACTGTTAAGCAGATAATGCTCCGAATGGTTAATAACTTTCCTTTAAAGTGTGTCTCTTCAACTGAAAAGGCGTGAGATTTATCTAGCGGTTGCTCCTCACTGAACTGCTTTTGGCGGTTGACGAATCGGAAATTGAACGTGAAACGTTTAGGCTCATGAAATATTCAGATAATTTTGGTGTTGTCTGTGAACTTGAATGCAAATTGTAAATGTAAATTCGATGGTCCCGCAATCTGCGCAAATCTCAATGGCAATCGGAATCGGAATGCAACGGCGGCTCATTTGGAGGTGTTGTTGGTTGCTCCACGATTGGAGCTGACGATGGCCACAGCTGCAGCATCTCTTGGTTAACTTGACTTCAAAGGAGTTTGGCATTCAATTGATTTGAGTATTTCCCACATTTCTGTGCGGCACTCGCACTCGCACAATTTATTGTCGTACAATAAAAGCACTTAAAGCCAAAGAGTCGAAAAGCCAAAAAGTCGAAAAGTCGCTCAATGTTCGAGGCTCGAAGTTCGTTAGCAAAAAACAATTTTTGGTATTTTTTTGTTTTGCATACGTTTTGGCCAAGAGGAGCTGCTCGTGACTGACTCTGGATGTGGATGCAGATGTGGATGGAGTCTGGTTACGCAAGCGCTTTTCAAGGTGAAATCGCCGGCATTTTGGCTAAAAGGCCGGAAATGCAGTTGCTGGGCAACGTTTCAGACGCTAACAACTATTGAAATTTCATTGACAGTTTATTGCAATTGCAATTAATTTCGACGATTATTGCACATATTTCTCAATCTGTTTTAATCATTTGTTGTTATTCGCCCAAAGCGATAAGTGTAATCAGGATTTGATTTTAAATTTACATAAATATTTAGTTAGCAAATTGAATCTTAAGTCAATAAGAGTAACTCCTCTTAAATAAAACAATTAAGTTTCAAATAATTATAATATAATATATTTATTTGCTTCTTATTGAGCTAAACTTGTTCTAAGGGAGTATCTCTTATATTATAAGACAGCTCTAGAATTAAGCTGAAGACCTCTTCTGTGCTGTCTCTCCTGCAGTAAGGTATGATGATATACCATTTAGTTATCATATTTTTAGTATAGTTCAGTATGATAGAGTTTACCGTAAAAAGCAAATATATTCTCTTGGGTTGTTTTTTGAAATGTACAGCAGCGCATAAAAACAATAACCGCGGGGTTTTATCTTGTAAACTTTTCCACAAACCCAAAGGCTGCAAAAAACGTGCCATTGTGCAACATTTAATAAAATTAAAAATCGCAACGAATCGCTTTGATAAAAAAATAACAATTGAATTGGTTGACCCGAATATTGCAGACTAATTGAAAAAAACAACCGTTTGGGCACTTTGTACAATTTTCTCTACCAATTTTTGGCGCAGTTCAACGAACGAGCGATCGATTGAACCATTTCATTATGCGCTTAAGTGCCCAATGCAATTAACAAACGGAAAAATAACAAGAAACGGCAAAGTTTTAAATCAAGAAAAACGCAGTTTTAATATCGGTAACAGCAACAACAACAACAGCAAAGAAAGCAATCAGTAATCACAATAAAAATGCATTTAATGTGAGTTCGCGTGAAGCGGCGACAATTTGCAAAATGTTTTTTCAAATATTTTCAGTTTATTTAATTTTTTTTTATTTTTCTGCATTTTTTATGGCCAAATTACGCAAGAAGCTAATTTCCTATGCGTAAGCGTAAGGTCCGCCAAATCATAAAAGCTATACGACTATAAATAAAAGTTGTAAAAAACAGCGCTAACAAATAAGAATGTTAAGTTTTCGTGGGTTGCACGACTGCTGAATGCCCTCACTCAAAGTTTTCGCAGAAGTCGTTGACGGGCCCTTAGCTGCGTTTCACAACTGTTTTATGGACTCGGGTTTTTGGCGTTTTTATCTGTGCTGAAAATCTGGACGACGCGTCGCGAATCTGTAAATAATTTGAGCAAACTATGTACAGTGGACATTGGCTGGGTATGAATACCCAATACTTTATATAAGATGAGTGATAAAATGCTTATAGTGTATGCACAGTGATCATTGTTGGCTGGTGAATGCAAAATTAAAATAGGGAAGCTCATTTTATATATAAACATGCTGTCACTAATCTTATAAAAAACAATTTTTTAAATTTGTTAAGAGATATAATTAATTAGAGAGTAATATTTTTATTAAAAAATAAAATAAATATTAAACATATACGAGTTAGAGAGCATCGGTTCGTTAAATTAAAGTCCAGGTTTATGATATATATATTTGTTGTATCTTTATATTCTGATTTCAGAATTTAAATTAAAAGAACAACAGGCAAGAATACAAAAAAATTATCTTAAAAAATACATAGAAATATTAAAAAAAAAAAACAAAATGTCAAAAAAAATTGAAATGAAAATTAAATTTTTTGAACAAAAATTTTCACAAAATATACATGAGTAGTTTAAAAATTGTCTAAATTTTCCAGCACTCAATAAGGTATTATTTATTTCCATTACAAATTGCCATTTTTCATATTGTTGCAAATTGCACTTAGTCAATTTCTACTGTATATTGCCGAGTAGTACGCGCTAAGTATCACAATGAGTTAAGTTTAAACACACACCACTTGCTCTTGTTGTAAACATTATTCTGCACATATTCTCATTTATCATACAAGTATGTGAATGTATAGTAAAGATTGCCGCACAATGGCAACCCAAATTCGAATGGTAGGAAAACCCACAACACGCGCACGAAATTATTCAAATTGCCATTGTTGAACAACTGAATCGGTTTCAGGCAGAGACTTGAAGTTTTCCAATGCATTTTCTTATGATTTTCACTTTTCGCCCAGCTCCAAAATGAGATCGTGAGCGCATGTTTTCATTTTCATTGCGAGTTGCCCCCGAGGAAAGCCGCAGCCGAACGCTTGGCCTGCCACAGCTCAAGTGCGCGTCCCAAGCGCTGTGGCAGCTCGAAGATGGGAGCTGCGAACTGGTAGCTGCGAGCTGGTCTCGCTGCCAGCGAGAGCGAAAGTGCACGACATTGGGTTCATCAGCTGGAGAGTGAGAGCCGCAGTAGCAGAGCCAGCTCTCAGTCTGCGCCACATCCGACAGGCGGGAAATTGTGGAGCTCTGGCTTTGCCTGTTCGGTAATAAGTTGATTGTGCGGTAATTTCGGTTTCACTTGCCCGTCCTACACCGCAAACGCTGAGAGACTCACACACAGATAGAGAGAGCGAGCGAGAGAGAAAGAGAGCGAGACGAGAGAGAGGCAGGGGGCTGCATATTATTGGCCAGCTCGCTGGCCAGCTACGGCTGCGGGCCTGGGCCACACATGCGCAAAAGTCGCATCATCATGATCGCTAACCTCTGTCCATGTCTCTGTGTGTGTGTGTATCTGTGTGTGCCGCTGGCCGACTGTGTTTCGGCCTCTGTGCGAATGTGGCATCTATGCCGCTTGGATTTTTTGTATAAATTGATGATGCGGCTGCATTGGTTCGTCAGTGAAGCATTTGATTTGGTCTAATAAACATCGGTGAACCGAGTCCGAGTCCGAGTCTAGAGTCGAGAGTGCAGCGAGGATAACTGAGAAAAACAACAAACGTGAGACACTCAGCCATACATACACAGTTTGGCCAGGCATCCCTAACAATCGTATCTCTTCCCATCTCTACACTCCCAACACACACCAATACACGGCACAGACCTAGGATTACTGTGACAGTGCAAGTGTGTGCGTGCCAATCCGTGAATATACATTTACATACATCCATCTAAAAGAACGCGTGTTCGAGCAGCCATGAAAACCTTCATCTTAATGTCCTGCCTGGCGCTGGCCGCGGCGCGCCCTGAAGCCGGCTACAACTACAATCGTCCCGGTGGCGGCGGTGGCGGCGGTGGCTCCCACGGTGGCAGCGGCGGCGGCGGTGGCGGCATTGGCATCGGTGGCGGATTCGGGGGCGGCTCCGGTGGTGGCTTCGGCGGCAGCTCAGGTGGCGGCAGCTTCGGTGGCAGCTCGGGAGGCAGCTTCGGTGGTGGCTCAGGAGGCGGCTTCGGCGGTGGTTTCGGCGGTGGGTCAGGAGGCGGCTTTGGCGGTGGATCAGGTGGTGGATTCGGCGGCGGATCCGGCGGTGGTTTCGGCGGAGGTGCGTCAATCAACAAGCTTAACTAACTTCTCAGCTAACCTTGGATAATTTTGCAGGCATCGGCGGTGGTTTCGGAGGCGGCGGAGGCGGCGGAGGCGGCGGCGGCACCACTTTGGTGCAGAAGCACATTTATGTGCATGTGCCACCACCAGAGCAAGAGGAAGTGCGTCAGCGCCCCAATCTGCCAGTAGGCCAAGCCCAGAAGCACTACAAGATCATCTTCATTAAGGCGCCATCTCCGCCCTCGTACCAGGCTCCAGTCATCCCGCTGCAGCCCCAGAACGAAGAGAAGACCCTGGTCTATGTGCTGGTCAAGAAGCCCGAGGATCAACAGGACATTGTCATTCCCACGCCCGCACCCACGCAGCCCTCCAAGCCCGAGGTCTACTTCATCAAATACAAGACCCAGAAGGAGAGCGGCGGCATCTCCGGCGGCACCGGTGGCTTCACTCAGACCAACACTGGCAGCGGCTACTCAACTGGCGGCGGCGATGGCGGTTTTATTGGTGGCGATAGCGGTAGCATCTCCGCGCCATCCAGCAACTACGGCCCACCCGGCAAGTCTGGCCCCTACTAAGCAGCATCTCCGCAAGAACAAAATGAACACTCACCTCGATCTAACCACAATCAGACACACACTCGGCTCAAGCTGCTGACTAGTCCTGTCTTTGACGCGCTAACACTCAAATATTCCCGAAAAAAGACACGCCCACACTCAACACCACAAACTGCGACTTGACCCAAACTCTGGACGGGAGAGTCGAATCCGACACAAGACGATTTTCTCGCCTCAGGCTCACATAACTGGGCGCTACTTTCGTCCAACACTTTTGTATATAAAAAAATGTTTCCGACTATCCTAATTACACCATCTCTCGATATATCACCACTTCCATCTCTCTCTCTCGCTCTCTCTCTCTCTCCCTATCTCAGTCTCACTCACACACACACGCACACGCTATCTCGTCTGTCTTTCTCCCTCTCACTTGCCTAACCTGAAAAAAAAAACATGAAAAAAATCAATTAGCTAATAGATGACAAGTGCTGAGTTCCCCGGGAAGGGAACTTCACTTGGCATCCGGGCATCAGAAAAAAAAGAAGAGGAAGGAGAAGTTAATAGATGATGATAATGCGAAAGTTGAGATATAAATCCATTCATAATACATACATATAAATATAAATATACATTAATTATATTATTAGTTTTAAGTACTTTATGCACAATAAAAAAAAACAACGGTGACAAAATTACAAAAAAAAATGTATCAAGAATATTTTGCTTTTCTCCAAACTTTGGCTCCCAAGGGTTAATTTCAGCAAAGACTGGAACCAAAAATTACCCAATTTTTTAAAAACTAAACCCTTTTTTCATATTTTTTTAATATAAACTTCTAAAAACTAACTTTACTTAATATTTTTCTTAAAAAAAGAAAGATCTTCCGATAATTAGAAATATTTTCGATTATTTTAAAACCAGGAATAATTTTTAAAATTAGGCTTATATTATTTTTCGAGTGTATAAATCGTTTTTCCATTAGCAAAAAGGACACGCCTGAGAAATTGATTTTTTTGCTCGTCCCTTGCATTTTATTGTTCGTGCGCCTCTCTAATATTTACCTATTGGGCATGCATTGCTTCCATATGCGGATTACTGACGTCAATGTTGTCGTAAAGGACGTCTCTGCCAGCCAGGCGATAAGAACGTGAATGGAAATCCTCAACAAAGCCTGGGCAATAGGCATTGAATGGCTGGGAGATGCTTTTCGACTTTAAACTTGATTTCACGTAGCTGTAGAACAAAGTCTGGCTGATTTTAGGTCAGCCGAAAATACAATTTATCCTTGCATCATTCGGGCTTGCTTTAAACGTGGCCCACTTACAGGACGGGAAAAAATTAATTAAAGCGAACGGAAAATTGGTGTGGAAGTTCTGGAAGCCCACTAGAAACTAATTAAAAAGTAATTTCTCAGCATTACGCTCATAATTTAAACATCGAGTTTTGCCGCAGGAAACCTGACTTAATTTTTATATAGTTTTTTTTATACTTTTTTATCTAATCCGACATTGCCAGTCATTTGTCTTTGACCGTTTTTTTCGTTTTGGTTAATCTTTTGCATAGAAGGGTAAATTAACGGTTTCCGCCACTTAAGCAGCGCGGTCTATAAGGAAGACAAAAGGGCCAAGTACGCGGGTCTGGCGGCGGACAAGTCCATTTTAATTAAGTTGACTTGTGTGAATGATTTTCCCAAAGTTTTCCGTTTGAACTCGACAGACAGACACAGAGCACCGTCGGGCTTGGTGTGGGTCGCCCAGAGGACCTGGCCCAACTGCGATTGCCACGCTTTAAGCCAGCACAGCTGTCCAGTCGGGGAAGCCTCAGCCAAAGGTGCTGGGAAATGAGAAACTGGAAAACTGGCAAATGGCAACTGGCAACAAGCCGCAACTAGAGCTTAAGTTGGTGACAGCGCCCCCACCACCGCTTCTAGTGGCTCCTCACAATACACTTTTCTGGGCCAGAGCGACAAAACCTCAGAAAGTGCACAAACTTTTTCATTAGTTTGAATATTTAATACCCTTTTAGTGGGTACAGTTCTTCCGAAATGTGAGACACGTTGAGCAAAGGCCTGTTTCCATTTAAATTTTTCGCTCAGCTTTAAAGAATTCAACATATTGATGTACTTATATTTTCAGTCGAATCAACTCAGAATAGAAATAATATATATAGAAATATTATTATATATATGATATATTTTATATTATTATTGTTATATAATAATTCTATAAATTATTATATGTATAATAATATTATGTAGTTATACTACAAAAAATTTCCTTTAAAAATAACAGTCTGATTCATATCAAATATATACGTGTTGGACACATTAAAAATGAACCTCAATAAGCCTAATAACAATTAGAAGAATACTATTTAAAATTTATTATGTGTACACCTGTCTAAGGTAAGGCTTTAACCCAGTTTTAAAACGAAGCCAGCTCGAATTCCGTATGCCTTTTTTTGCAATGAACCGTTCCTTGAACCGAAGTTTTATTTGAACTTGTTTTGTCCTAAGATTACAACGATTTTTAACATCCAAGCCTTTATCAAAACATAGCCAAAAAAACCCTGTTTTATTATCACCAGACTTTTCCAACGACTTCAAACAATTTGAAAATACGGAATGCCCTATTCGAAGGTTTAACTTGTTGAGAATTCTAATCGCCAAGCAAGGCCAGCAATAGTACAAAGAAACTCTGGTTACGAAAGAATTGTATTTAAAAAAAAATTAAAAATTATTTCACAGCATAAAATCCGTTTCAATCTGTTTCAAAAAATTGTAAGTTTCTAACAAAAGCTTGTGTTTACGAATGCACATTCGTTTTGAACTTCTGCATTGGTTCAAATCGTTAACGGGCTCTGCAGGGGCCCTGCCTAGGGTGTTTCATCTTCGATACTCTTAAGCTGAAACTTACTTTCTAGGTATTTTTTGCTTGCTTTTTTATCATTTATCACGTTTCGTTTGGTTGTTGTTTCACTTTTTAAACATTGCAATCTGCGTTTATTTTGCTTGTTTCTTTGTGATTTTTTTTGGCTTTTTTTTTTTATTTTATTTTTGGTTTAATGTTTTTAATGCTTTAAATACACAGCGTTGTACGCCGCCGCCGCCGCCGCCGACGATTCGCATTGTCATTGTCGCTCGAATTTCAGTTTCCTCCTCTGCGCTACACTTTGTCACTTTCACTTTTGCCTGTGGTTGTTGTTGTTATTGCTGTTACCTTTGGCCGCAACAGTTGTTGTAGGTGGCCCCAAGCCATGAGCTTGTGTTCCCAGTCACATATTTTGTGCTCTTACTCATGCCAGGCTTCCGGATCTCTGTCTCTCTATATATCTATATATATATATATATCTCTGTACAGGTGACGCCCCAAATGTTGGCCCAAACAATCAATTTGTTGCTGTTGTTGTTGGCTTTTGCTGTACGCCTAATCAATGGGCCATCAGTCATATAGACACAACTCAATTCGTTTGTTGTGGGCTGCCTTTGACTATGCGGCCCAAATTTTTAATTACACTTGCGGCGCTCGTAAAGTGCGGCAAGCACAATTAAATTGATAACAGCAGCCGCACTTTAATCAAGTATTCCTTGCCTGGTCGTAAAGTTGCGGGTGTGTTGCATGCCCCAAAAAACAAAAAAGGGACAAACTCCTTTTTTTGCTTGGGTTTGCTCTCATACTAGCATGTTGCAAGATAGCCGGACGTACATTAATCAGCTACGGGTGGCATGTATATACGTATATATACATATGTGTGTGTGTGTGCGGCAAGTTTCGACCACAACATTGTCGCAGTTAGAACCGTTCTGATAGCCCGGTCCGGGCTCGCTCTATATTGTGGCATTTGGCAACAAAACTGCGGCTGCTGTTGTTGCTGTTGCTGCACTTGGCCAATATCCTTTGGCTGTTCCTTTCCTATGGGCGGCATCAAATTACTCATGCGATTTTTTCCCTTGTGGCAAATGCCTTACATGCTTTTGGCACTTGAAAATGTGTTGTACGTCCTCTTGCCCCAGATACATATCGTTGAACGGCATGTGCTTGTAATTTATATGTTCTCCCTTTGGACCTTGCACCTCCGATGTATTCATTTAGCAGTCTGTTAGACATTTGGCCATGCTTTTGGCCTCGATATCCATTTGCATTTGCCTGCTTTAGTTTTGGGAATCTCGTGTGCAATTTTCAGCTGTGTTCCCATTTAAGCAGTCAACTTGGCTAATTTATCAAGAGCCCTCAAATAACTCGAGAATGTGGTTATTCCCTGGAAACGTATTCCAGCAGCAAACATTTTACAATAAAGCGATTCGTTAGTAAAAGTAATCAATCAAATTTCGAAAAAAATAAATAAAAAAAAGCACAAGCATTTTGGAAATTTTAAGGGAAATGCTTAAAATTCAATTTGTGTGTCAGTAAAAGATTAACAATAAAGAGGAAGTACAGAAATAAATAATTGTCGCAGATTGAATACCCTTCCAGTCAAAATTGGGTACTGGGAGGGATTTTAAAATACATTTTTTTAATTATCAATATTATGAGTATAAAACGAAATAAGCATCAAATAATTTAAGAAGCATCCGCTGCTATGTATTTCAACTAATATCTCACTATATCCTAGCCCTTCACATTTTCAAAATAATTACATAATATATAATATATGTATATTATTATATTATAAAATATATATACATATATATTTTTTCCAATAATATAATTTTATTAGAATATAAAATAAAGTAATTTAACAGAATAATCAATCAAAAATATTTATAATACTAAATTATGCTGCCCGACTTTATGTAAATTTTGGGTTACAAGCTCTTTTTTGCCCTCTCTTTCTCAGCTATAACATGTTGAGAATTATAAGCATCAAACAACTTTAAATTCAAAGGCAAAGTTCAGTTTCTTCGAATTTTAGCCCAATAAACTTTGTTGTTTGTTGCTTAATATTTATACAAAAATAATAATTAATATAAATCCCGAGTCGACCAGTCTAATATTATTGGCACAGTACAGAAAAGGTCACTAAAACCAATAGAAAGTATATTTAATTTGGAGGAGGCACACCTGTTTCCCCTCTTTGGAGCATATGAAATTTTACATACTTTGTTATCTATATATAACATAACCGTTTCTTTGCTTTACACAGTATACCCTCTGTTAGTATGCCCTCAAGCGAGGGCTCCAGAAAACGTTTGTGAATATTTGTGTCATGTCTTCAAACAGAAACCCGAAACGTGGGCAAAATATCGCGTGATAGATGAAAAACTGTATGACCCTTCTTTAAGCGGCCTTTCCTTGAGGTTCAACTTGCCACAGCGTCGGGGACCTGGATTTTCGGTTTCGGCTGCCACATTTAATTGGCTGCCAGGCGGCTCTTGGGCGGCTTTGCATCTGACTCCCTCTGACCACACTGCTGGCTGCTGCTTTAAGTTTATGACACTTTCGGCGTTATAATTAATTGCGCGTTTTCCGTAGCCCCTTTTTTGTTTTGGACACGCCTACATTGCGCCCCCCACCTCAGGAGAACCTTAATTATAATGTATGTTTGTCGTAAAAGTAAAAGTCGCGTCACGTACGTCTAGGGAAGACCC